CGGGTTTTTTTTCTCGGTTTGGGTCGGATTATCGGATTGGTGCGATTTGTCGGTTTCCTTTGTACACTCCTAGAATCTTACACAATATTCATAATTCATAGTAATATATATTCTCTCCTTGTCCTAAACATGGAGGGATAGTGCCCTAGAACTAAACTAGAAGGCAGTGTCCGAGCTAGCTTTCGCATACAAGCTCAATCGAGTTCAATAACTTTGGTTCAAATTTTATATTTGTCTCAAGGAAATTTATTGAATATTTACGAATTATTGCTTAATAACTTAAGATATCAAAAATTCCAAGCTCATAAGCTTCTAAATAATCCAGTATAATCCCACTTAGTAGGGTCTGGGGAGGGTAGTGTGTACGCAGACCTTACCCCTACCCTGAGGTAGAGAGGCTGTTTCCAAATAGACCTCCGACATCCTTCCCTCCAAGAACTTCCCACCTTGCTTTTGGGGAGACTCGAACTCACAACCTCTTGGTTGGAAGTGGAGGTTGCTTACCATCAGAGCAACCCCTCTTTTCTTTTTACGGTCAATATGTCTGTCTCCTCTTTTATCTATGCAATTACTACAAGTTGAACAAATAATATGAAAGCTATACATTGACACACATCCATATATATCAGGCCTTCTTGCCTCCCTATTTTTCATTTCTTTTCTATAAAACAATTCGCTAGCGTGTCGCCATAGATTTTTAAATTTGTTTTAAAAAATTTAATTTGGGTGAAGTTTGGTTTGAAGATGAAAATGTGTTTGGACAACAGTTTACAAAACATATTTCCCAAATTTATTTTGAAAAAATATAAAACATGACTTATACCACAAATTCTAAAAACTATCACAAATACCCAACAATATCATTATCAATAACATTCATTATACTAGTTTCTATGAACGTGCGTTGCACGTTAAAAGTTGCACACAATGGTTTAGGGAATTATTTTTATAAAGGAACATAATATTTAAGTAATGAGAGAATTATATACAATACAACAATAATTTAAATGCCAAAAAGATCATTACATTAGCATAAGACCTTATATCAAAATGATTGAATATTGTCATTTGAACCTGCAAAATGATCAATTTATAGTCTGGTTGGCCAAGTTTCTAAAATTAGCTTATTTTGAAAAGTGTTTTTCTCAAAAGTACTTTTTAGAAAAGTGCTTTTGGCGAAAAGCAATTTGTGTTTGGCTAATTAATTTGAAAATCACTTTTGAACATTAATTAGTGTTTGACCTAGCTTTTGAAAATTGATCCTAAGTGTATTTTTCTCAAAAGTGCTTCTCATAAAAGTGCTTTTGGAGAGAAGCTACTTTTTTATTCTTCTCAAAAAATGCTTCTGCTTCTACTTTTTTTTCCTTCTAAAAGTTTGGCCAAACACCTCAATTTTTTGCCAAAAATACTTTTAGCAAAACAAAACACTTTTGGCCCAAAAAAAAGCTTGGTCAAACAGGCTATATGGTAGTTAGATAATATTATTACATACTTATAACTATCTTAACTTTTCTTTGTAGATAATGTTCTTTATATATGTTCCCTTCATATGCTTTGGTGCTCTGTCATGACCAGAACATTGTTGTGAATATTGATATTCCTCTCAAAAGTGCATCATATAATTGTTCGTATGAGAAAATATGTTGCAGCATATACAGTTCAATATTTGGAATTATTTGCCCTTGTGCTTTTCTTATTGTCATTACAAAACACAAACGTTCGATAAATTTTCTAGATGTGAAAGTTGAATTCTAAGGATGAACACAGGCTTGAAATTAGATTGACATATCACGATTTCTGCATGTATAACGGTGTTGTCAAATCCTCTATGTACCATTCTTATACCATTGCATAAGCTATTTGACGAAATTAAGTTTCTCGGTAACATGAAGAATGTATTTTGCTTCAAAATCAACATGTACGCAGTGAAAGTTTATTTTTAAATTAATAATAATATATTCAACTCCAATTAAAATCACCTACCATTAAAAAAAGAAAAAGCTAATGCACCATGAAGCCACAAAATAAACAAAAACCATGTAAAAGAAAACTAAAGGCCTCTGTCAAAAGGAATTAAAAACTTAGTGACATGTACTTTGCACAACTTCCATTTTCATTTAGTGATGGAATATTTTCCTTGTTAAGAGATCTTTACAACTAATTTCGTCAATGTGCTTGATAATCAATTGTTCTAGAAAAAGGACCAAATCATCTTTTATTGTATGCTCTTTTTCATTTCTGACACGTACTAAGAAATCACTAAATGTTGTATTTGTCCTTATTGTTAGCTGAAGATCCAATTTGTCATCAAATTATATATTTAGTTTATTAAAAATAAAATTGAAAAATGATAACTTTTTTAGAAATTAATTTGTATACTTTTTAACATCACAGCCTAGCAAGTATTTTATAGCATCAAAGAGTGTAACATCATTTGCCATTGAACAACTCAAGTTTTAAACAGTATGTACAAATTATTATATGGTTACATTAGAAACATATTTATTTAATAAAGGAATAAGAGGAATTGAAAGATTTTTTATATGTTTATCTTCCTCGCAATCGATATCTCTTGTCATACAATTATTGCAATTAGCAATTTTATTTTCATCATATACCTTCTTGTAGCATTTTTTTCGAGAAGAATACCATGGATCATCTCTATTTATATAGTTTATTATTTGTACATTGAATCTAGAATATAAATCATGTATATAAATATAAGTCAATTTATTGGGTTTTACACATTCGAAAAGGACGTAAAATTATTTTAAAGTTTTTTAATTCACAATTATAGATAAGCTACTTATGATGGTTTTACGTATTTGAAAAGGACGTAAACTTGTCTTGAAATATTTTGAAATCTTTTACCCTTGCAATTGTACATGAGTCATTTATGATATCATTAACTATTTTAAGACAAAGTAAAAAATTATTTATTCCTTTATTTTAAGACAAAGTAAATGACTAAACTTCCTAAAACATGTTTCTTATTGGTACAAATAACATAAAGAAATGTAACCAACATTTATTAGAAAAAGCAGCTTCTTGAAAAAGACCCAAATGATCTAGAAAGGCCTGACGGCCTAATCTAGTACATCACTTTAATAAAACGGATAGAATATTAATAACTGACTTAATTAATAGGCGAACACAAACCAACAACTAATTAAATAAGAGTACAATATTTAAGCCAAGTAGAAAAGAGAAAAATAGTTTGATCTCATGCTGATAGAATTCAATAAAACTATCTATTGAATATATACATCCAATAACTATTTGTATGAATCATCTTGAATAAATTCTTTGAAAAATAAGGTAGTTGATAAAATTGAAGGAAAAAAGTAACAATTGAGGAATATATTACCTACACGGTTGATTTTCAATCTTAGGAATAACATATAAATACATAAGCTAAAGCAAGAAAACTTGGTTGATACTACAATAAAAAGAGTATAATATAGAAAGAAATAATACCTTTTGCAAAGTTTGGAGCATTGTAATGTTTGCAGAATTTTGATATTGTATTTTTTTGAAAATAGCACAGGTTAATCAGTTTTCGGACTGGTAATTGAAAAATAGCCAGCGTTTGTAAAGTCATTAAAAAATAGCCACTATTTTACTGCATCACGAAAAGTTCCAGCATAATATACTGGAGATTGGTGCACCTGGGTAAAACACACGGAAGGTTCCAGCATAATATACTGGAGATTGGAACACCTGTGTATGAACTTCCAGCATATTATGTTGGACCAGTATATTATACTAGAATATTTTTCGGATTTTGAATAGTATTTTCGTTCAGATTTATCTTTACATGAAAAGTGGCTAAATTTCGATTATTTTTAAAACTATGGCTATTTTTCAATTACTATTTGTAAATCTGATTATTTTTAATTTTACCCTGTATTTTTACACCAGGACCAAAGCTAAAAACTAATATGTAGAAGTATTTGGCTCTTTTTAAAAAAAAATGAATTCGTACAATTTAATACGTTCTCCAATTACATTAGTAAAAAGATTTTTTTTTAAGAAATATATCCTAAAAANTCAAATTCACAAACTTTCTTTAACTATATTATCAAACCAGCATATTTACAAATAAATTGATTTAACAAAAAATTTCGAGGTTTTAAGAATTAGGAATAGGATCCTAAAAGTAATAGAATTGTATAGCTAATGTCTGGGATTCCCGTAAGAAGTATGTCCTAAAACTAATAGGATTACATGACTAACAGGTACAATTCCGGTTATGACCATTTATTGTGAGTTATTATTCTTAATATTATAAGGTTATTTTTTGTAAACCAACATTATATTCGTGTTTTTATAATAATATAGATATAAATATAGATTATCGCAAACCATAGTTCTGAACATAATAAATTTGGTACAAAATTATTATTTTTATAATGAACTACATGATACACTATCAGATGACCGAGAAGACGAAACAACATTATTACAAAATAATAAATGGTGGGCTCTTTTATAAAATACAAAGTTTGGAATAATTTTTACAAAATATAATAGTGATATTCTAGCCCAAAACCAGCTATTGAGTTGATTTTGGGATTTGGAATTTTGCTAAATGTAGGCAAGATAATACATTTCGTAGTAAAGTGAAATTTTTGGCTCTTTTACTTGTGAAGAGTGAATGGGAGAACCAACAAGGGTTATGGTGGAGTGGTAAGTACTCCTTCATCTTTAATTAGAGGTCTCGAGTTCGAGCCCCTGGATATGGAGTCGCCTTTGTTAAGGCGCTTTATCTCCCAATGTGGGAATCCCCGGCGCAAATCCAGATTTACTCGGGTCCCAACGTGGATACCGAACATCGGGTGAAAAAAAAAAGAAGGAAAAAGAGTGAATGGGAGAAGAATACACATAAATGATGGGGTCAAAAGAAACATACATAGATGGGGTACACATAGAATGGCCATGGGAAGCAAATCTTAAAAGGGAATCAAAAGAAATTGGCCTCTTTGCACACTACTCCCCCACCTGCTCAAGATATGGTAAGTGCACATGATTTCACAATAGGAACAAAGGCACCATTGCTTATCTCACCTGTATCTCTTTGTAGGATTTGTGGGTCCCATCCACCCCCACTGTCACCATGAAAGAACCCTCTTGGCAATCTCTATAGTTAGTTTTCCCTTCTTACTATACTGCAACAACAATAACAATCCAGTGTAATCTCATAAGTGGGGTCTGGGGAGGGTAATATGTACGCACCTTACCTCTACCCGAGTGACAGAGAGGCTGTTCCAGACCTTACCTTTCCCTTCTTACTTTCACACACATATATATGTATGTGTAGCTATACATTTCTCCCTTCTGTAATTGCTTTCTTATTATAGGTAGTAAACTCCAACTTCCAAGAAATCCTCAAATACTTTGTTCTGTTTTTACTCTAATTTAGTAGCTTTTCTTTCTTCATTGCTTGTCTTGTAATCTTTGGGATGAAATCTGGTCAGATCTTGCTTTGTTTGTTGTGGAATTTGGTAGGACTTATTTCATTACAAAGCCAAACCTTCCCCACTCTTTTTCCTTCCTCATATTCATAACAGAAAGATAGACAAAGAAAAAAAAAAACACCCAACCAATACAATTACAAACAAACCAACCCCACCAAGGAATTAAGTAAAAATCCAAACTTTTCTCCTCTAAAAGAATTGGAGCAATGGGAATGGTAGCTGCTGAGCAACAGTTTCATGTCTTAGCTGTAGATGATAGCTTGATTGATAGGAAGCTCATTGAGAGGCTCTTTAGAACCTCTGCTTGCCAAGGTAATCTTTTTAGTTTTCTCGTTTCCTATGTTGCTCAGACTTATCGAAAATATTACGGGGTGTGTCAGATCCTCCAAAATAATCATTTTTGCATCCGTGCAACAACATTTTGATGAGTCCGCGCAACATAGTTGGTTTCTATTTCCATTTATTTTTCTGGCCAAAGGGATTTCAAGATAACATTTTTATTGATTTTCTACTGTGTGCATCTGCATTTTTTATAATGGCAGTTACTACTGTGGATTCTGGAAGTAAAGCTTTAGAATTTTTGGGGTTTCAAGAAAATGACCACAATCACCCAAATCCACCTTGTGTTTCTCCTCATAACCATCAGGTAATGTTCATTTCCCCATTTCACTTACTTTCTTGTACTGACTTCTTGTATTTTTCCATAAATTATTCCCTTTTTTGTTTCTTGGATTTTCCACTGGTTTTTACTGAAAGTTTTAAAAAAAAGTTAATCTTTTTTGTTCTCTGGAATTTGCAGGAAGTGGAAATAAATCTTATTATCACAGACTACTGTATGCCTGGTATGACAGGCTATGATTTGCTCAAGAAAATTAAGGTATGCTCAAGAAAATAGCACCTTTTTTTCCCCTCTTGCTGCCATATTACTCTTTGATCTGAATTGTACATCATTTTCCTTTCTTGGTAATATACTTTAGGACATAAATTGTTCCCATAAATTGTTAGTGGCATTCCCATTAGCCATATGGGTCCTTTTCTCACCTTTCAATTTTGAGATCAGTTGAGAATCTTGTTAGGAAATCTAGCCCACCTGTATGTGTACTGGCAAAGCTGAGAAGGGAGTCTTGGCGTAACTGGTAAAGTTGTTATCATGTGACTAGGAATATTACGGGTTCGAGCCGTAAAAATAGCTTATTGCAGAAATGCGGGGCAAGACTGCGTATAATAGATCTGTGTCTGATATGTGTACTACATAACTAGATGTTGAAAGGACATGTGCCTATGGTTTTATGTCTTTCCTTTTTTGGACCCCTACTGAAACAACTTTTCCTTTTACTAGATTCTTTTGCCAATCAATTTATCTAGTTGGTAAATTAATATTTGTACTCTTTTTTATGACAGGAATCGTCATCATTTAGAAACATTCCAGTAGTCATTATGTCATCTGAGAATGTTCCTTCAAGAATCAATAGGTAAATACTAACAAGCACAGTATTACCTTAATTTTAGTTTCTTAGGCGAAGTGCATCAATAACCACTTTTAAGCATGTTATTTAAAATATATTTACAATTTATAATATATTTAAAGATTAGCCATTTCGTCCAAATTTCAAGACTAAGCATCCTGAATTTTCGTATCATGAATTTTTGAGCTACTAATTTGAAAATTAGGACAAAGTATCCCGAATTTCTGAACTGCTAATTTAAAATTCAAGACATAAGATTCAAATTTCTCGACACAATTTTTGAAATTTAGGATATGATGTCCTGAAGAGGTTCAAACTTCAGGACGTCATTGTCCTAAAGTTTAAGCGTAAATTTTTAAATTCATTATATACTATAGATATATTTTAAACCGCATACTTAAAAGTGGTTATCTGGTGTCATTTCCACTAATTTCTTGAAGATTATTGGATAAAAAATAAAGGGTTAATAATATTTTCTGACTGAGTCATCAGATGTTTAGAAGAAGGAGCAGAGGAATTTTTCTTGAAGCCAGTCAGATTATCAGATGTCAATAAGCTTAAACCCCATATGATGAAAACCAAATGCAAAAGCTTTCATGAACCTGAGAAAATTGTCACAAAGGAAAATCAAGAATCACCAGAAATCGAAAAAGTTCCATCAGAACAATCACAGCCACAGCCAAAAACAGAATTAGACACAGAACAAATACAGCAAATCCAGCAATCTCAAGGCAATAATAATAAGAGGAAGTCCATTGAAGAAGGTCTATCTCCAGAGAGAACAAGGCCGAGATACAGTAGCCTAACTACTGTCTAATCTTATGATCAATGCAAATATAATTTCCTTTTGTTTTTTTTTAGTCAGATAACTTTGTTTTTGTCTCTTTATAACAATACAGCCAATTTTGTTTGCTAACCTAAGAGGTGAATAGATCTTTTTATTGTAGATAGAAATGTGTTCCTTTTTCTTCTTGTAAATGAATGGAGAAGCATTTAATATACAAAAGTGGTGTTTTTGTTAACACTTAAAATTTGTTAAACCTAAGTTTTTCATTTACTAGTCTTAGAGTACGCTTTTTGCGCGTGTATCCCATCTCTATAGGGATAAAAAGAAATTAAAAAAAATTACATAAATACTATATTAAAATTTGTGCTTAAAATAAAAATTAAAAAATATAAATTCTTGAGAATGATTGATCATCCTGTTTAGCTAGCTCAATAAAGAATAAACTCTATCCTACATAAATTCTCGATCATCTCGATCAATATAGCAAACTCAAGATTTTATTCTAGTTTATAATTATATTAATTTAATTTCATAAATAATTATGCTTCTTTTTTAATTTCAGCAACAACACACATTTATAAAAAATTAAGAATTTTTCTGAAATGATTTTTGAAAAGCTACATATTCTTAAGTTTCTTTTAGAAGACATAATTAGGGTTAGCAAACTAACATAAGCCATTTTTTTAATCACAAGAAAAATGCGAATTTTTGTATTTCTCTAATGAATAAGACATCTGATAGGAATTATTTCCAACATATTAGAAAAGAATAAAACACTATTGCGAAAGAAAATTCAGTTACTATATTTTGATAAATATGGTATCCCAACTCATTTGGGATTGAGGCTTAATAATTATTGTTGTACTTTCTTATTTTGAAGAGAACTTTCTTTTTTGTCCAAGCACATAAACATGTCCTGATATTGTCTTTTTTTTTTTGGAAGCAAAAATCTATGATTGTAGTGGAATTACTTGCAATTGATAAATTCTAAAGGTCTTCGTTAATACTAACCTAAGAGGAGTGAAAATATAAAATTCATATTAACATCAGAATTCGAATCTATTCTTAAACACATTTTGAGGATGCAGTGTTTTAGTTTTCATGTATGTGTAAACATTTGTAGATCGAAAAATTTGATGAAAAATAGCTAGAGTTTAAGAGAAAGTGAGAGGAATCGAGAAGCCTCTGTTCATTGTCTTTCAGATCTATCGTTCTTACATATGAACGATATGTATGTATATATATAAGGGTATAATTGGTAGTCCACTCAACTACTTGGGCCACTGCCCGACAACTTATTAAGAAATCAACAATTGGGCTTAGCCCAGTACAAATAAATACAAAGGTGGCCCAATCCTTCAAGTAATAGCACTATCTCTAATACCCCCCCCCCCCCTTAAGTTGGAGGATGTGCACNCCCCCCCAAGTTGGAGGGTGTGCACACGCCCAACTTGCGAAACAAAAATTGATGAGAAGCACCTGCAAGAGACTTAATGAATACATCGGTTGGTTGGGAAGCAGTATTAATGTGACTCAAAGATATCAAACCATCAGTCAACTTAGTGCGGATGAAATGGCAATCGAGCTCAATGTGTTTGGTGTGCTCGTGGAATACCGGATTCTTAGCAATATGAATCGCAGCCATACTGTCACAAAAACAGGTATAGGTGCTGAGAGAGGCATACCTAGATAAGAAAACAAACGAGCCAACTAAGATAATTCAGCCACAACTTTACTTAGGGCCCTGTATTCTGCTTCAGCAGAAGAGAGAGACACCACCTGCTGTTTCTTAGACTTCCAGCTTATTAAACTACCTCCAAAAGAAACACAGAAACCAGTAACAGATTTGCGAGTCTCAAGGCAGGCTGCCCAGTCACTATCACAGTAGCCATGGAGAGATAGATCAGAAGAATTGTTCAAAAAAAAAAAATACCAACATCAGAAGTACCCTTTAAGTACCTTAAAAACATGTAATGCAGCTTCCATATGAGGAACTCGAGGGGTCTTAAGAAATTGACTAAGATGTTGCACAGCAAAACATAAGTCGGGCCTAGTATGAGTGAGAAAATTGAGTTTACCAATTAAGCTATGATAAGCATCCGGCCTAAGCAAGACATCCCCAGCCTCAGAATGTAACTTGGTGGACAAAGCAAGAGGACACACAACAGAAGAGACATTTGAACACTTAAACTCAGTCAATAGATCAGAAATAAATTTTCTTTGGTGTAGAAGAACCCCTGAGGAATGATAAAGCACCTCAATGCCAAGAAAATAGTTAAGGTGGCCCAAATCCTTGATCTTGAATTCAACATCCAGAAAATTCTTTAAAGCAGTAATTTCAGCTATATCATTGCCAGTGAGGATGATATCATCTACAGAGACAGCAATGAAAATAGAGGAAACATCAGTTCTTTTGAAAAATAATGAATAGTCATTCAAAGAATGAGTGTACCCTATAGAACAAAGATACTGAGATAGCTTTGTATACCATTGCCGAGAAGCTTGTTTCAAATACAAGGATTTCTTTAAACTAGGAGAAGAACCAACTGAAAGACCCTGTGGCAATCTCATGTAGACTTCCTCATCTAAGTCCCCATGCAAAAATGCATTATTCACATCCAATTGAAACAATGACCAATTATGTTTGACATCAAAAGCAATGAGGCATCTAACAGTACACAACTTTACAACAGGTGAAAATGTTTCAGCAAAGTCTACACCCTCTACTTGAGTGTTACCTCTAGCTACTAGCGTTGCTTTATACCTCACAATAGAACCATCAGCCCTATATTTAATTTTGTAAACCCATTTGCATCAAATTGACTTCTTACCTTGAGGCAAGTCAATAATGTCCCATGTGTGATTAGCCTCCAAAGCCTCAAACTCTTTTGTCATGGCCTCTTGCCAAGCAGGACTTATAGCATCCTGATGGTAAGAATGAGGCTCAACTGCAGCTGTTGGTGCATCAGTAGTGATAGTAGTAGAGGAGAAGAAAGAGGGAGGAAGGGATACGACATAATCCTGAAGGTGAGAAGGTAGATTGTGAGTTCTAGTTGATTTCCTAGGAGCAGCAGGAGTAGAAGAAATAGGTGAAGGAGAGGAGTGAGTTGGAGATGAATCAAAATGGGGAGGAGAAGAAAAACTAGAAGGAAGAGAAGCATGGGTGGAAATGGGTGAAGAATTCGAAATAGGTGAAGAAGGGGTGAAGGAAGGAGGAAGAGAAACATCAACAGCTGAAGGACCAGAAGGGTCGGAAATGATAGTAGATGGAGAATGATGTAAAGGAGAAGGTATAGAATAAGAAGAGTCTGAGAGGTGAAATGGAAAAACAACTTCATGAAAATTGACATCTCTGGAAATAAGTACAGACTTATTTTGCAAATTGTAAAGCTTATAGCCCTTCTTCCCAAAAGGGTAACCAATGAACACACAAGGGATAACCCTTGGCTGAAATTTGTCCCTTTGACACTTGGGAACTGAGGCATAGCAAAGGCAGCCAAAAGGTTTCAAATGGTTATAGGATGGTAAATTACCATATAAAAGTTCAAAAGGAGTTTTGTTTGATATTACAATTGAGGGAAATCTATTTATAAGATAAGTGGCAGTTAATACGCAATCTCCCCAGAATTTTGTAGGAAATTTTGACTGGAATAAAAGAGCCCTTCAAGTTTCTAAAAGATATTTATGTTTTCGCTCAACCACACCATTTTGTTGAGGTGTGTGAGGGCAACTTGTTTGGTGTAAGATCCCATTATTAGAAAAAAATTGAGACATGGAATGAGAAGAGCCAAGCTCTAGGGCATTGCCACTTCTAATAGTTTTAACATGGAGGTTGAATTATGTTTGGACCATTGCAATGAAAGCCTTGAGAAGAGGAAAATCATTACTTTTGGCATGCATTAAATGAGTCCAAGTGGCTCTACTATAATCATCCACAATTGTTAAAAAGTATTTTGCACCAGTATATGTTTGTGTATGATATAGTCCCCAAATATCAATATGAATTAGTTGAAACAAGGAAGTGGAACTAGAGGTACTATCTGGAAAAGACAATCTAGATTGTCTAGCTAGAGGACAAATTGAGCAAATGAAAGATTGCTTAGAGGAAATATTAGGAGAAATAGCATGAATGACCTTTATTTTAGCAAATGGGATGTGACCCAATCTATGATGCCAAAGAATATCAGAACAGGTTACAACATTCACAGAATTCACACAAGAAACATTAGACTTTACACAAGGAAGAGTAGAAGTAGTACTACACATACAACATGGACATTATTATTCGATAAATTATTTACAACTGATGTAGTATCATTTAGGAAAGAGGCAGGGGATGAATGCATGGAGAGTACATTAGCAGTTAAATCTTAAATAGAGATACAATTCAGTTTAGGAAGAACATTAGAAAGACTAGAGGTGGAAGAGCTAGAAGTGGTAAGTGGAAGAAGCTTGTAAAGACCATGGTATTCATATGAAATACAACAATAATTATTTTTAACAGATTAAAAATGCTATTGCAAATGTACTGGATTCATATGTTTTGATTAATCTGCTCTTCCTTCGTTTTGTAATTGGCTTTTTTTCTCTGTCCTAGTACATAACTGTACATTTGAAAAAAATATTCTATGGAAGTAAGAGGTCGTTTGGTACGCTGACTTAATTATCCCGGTATTATAGTCCTGGGATTATAATCCCTAGACTAATTTATCCCAGGTGAGAGGTGGAAGAAAATAATACCAGGTTTGATGGAATAAGGTGGGATTAGATGGGATATCCAGGATTAAGTTTGGGACAAAGTTTGTACTATGTTTGGTTGTTGGTATAAATTTATCCCGGAATAAATTTATACCACCAACCAAACATAGTATAAATTTAATACCACACTTTAGCCCACCTTGTCTCGTGTACCAAACGACCCCTAAGAGCCTAAGATTATCATGGAATTTCTTAATGTTAACAGATTCTGAAAGGAAATATTAATTATGAGCAAAATATGGAGTTTATGTTAAGAAAATTTTAATTTTGGCACAAATTATTAGTTACACGCCTAACTTGTTTGTAGTCTTAGTTGCTCACCCAAACTTTGTTAGTTGATAGTCGATATCTCATGGTCACTGATATGACAAAGCGCGTTTACACTCTCATTTAGGCCTGTGAGAGTGGAAAAAATAATTTTCAGATAGGATATTTTCGTCAATTATTACATAGTCGTATACAATACTTATTGGTATGAA